CGTCTCACCGTTCAATTAAATTAAAAGCAAGATTTTCTAGTTTCAACCACGTGAGTGAAAAACTGAATACAAAAAAAGAAGCGATTATTATAAATGAATTTAGTACAGAATTTCGTCTTCCCATTTAATTAAATTAAAAGCAAGATTTTCTAGTTTCAACCACGTGAATGAAAAACTGAATGGACTATCGTATACGCAAGGAGATTACAAACTGTTTAAATATGTGATCAGAATTGGTAAACGGGATATAGATTAAACGATCGTATGTGCATACAAGAAATACCTAAGCTATCAAAGCGTGAGAAGACGCGTGCCTTTATGTACAGATGACTCGTCGCTTGTGTTTATCGTAATAAAAGTACTTATTGTACGTTGATCATTCGCATATATATCACACTGTTTTCCAATACATTGAGATACCGTTATCTGTGTACGTAGATAATAAAAACTAGTCAATTACAAAACTCTGTCCTCGCTTTTGTCTCTCCAACATCAATTTTAATACGTCCTTTCATTGATCATCGATTCTGGAACCGTTTCGCATAAAAACGTGCAAGCTTTTTGTGTCGACGTCACGAGGATTTCAAAATGCAGTGTGTCGTAAAAATCTGCTTATCTGGTTATCGTGCATCTGTCCGATAATGCGTCTAATGCGGTGATAAGAAGTGTCATCGACCAGAGCTGATTTCAGGAGAAGCAGGACGAAATTTCGAGGCGTAACAGCGAGGCGGTTAAACTCGACCGGTTGAAGTTACATTTGAACAACACCATCGCCGGTGATGCCTTGCTGTCGCCCGTCGGTCAGAGGAAGATCTCCAGGGCGAAGGTGCGCACCGATACCTGCAAATAATAATCATTGTTAAACATGGACGATTTTTAGATTCTCAATGAAACGCAAGCTTCGGGTTCGCGTTCGAGGCGGACCAGTACCACGAATATGGTGTTCGTAGACGCGACTCCCTTCGAGGAATCAAGAGCACATCCGCAAGACACTGAAATCATGTAACCTGCAGTAACTTTTTGAACAAATGCATCGATACTTGATTTACTGAATTCTTAGACGGTAATTCGTATCGAGCGAACTTGGCCAAGAACTATTTGCGAACTCTAATCCTGTTTTTCAGCGAGATCCACGAGTTCCCGACGCCGAGGGAGTCGTCGGTGTACGCGATGAACAAGAAGAGGCGTGGGAGATGCGTGATATTCCATCACCAAGAGTTCAACGAAGGGAACGGCGACTACAGAGAGGGTTCTCAGTACGACGTGGAAAAAATATACAAGGCTTTCGAGAAGGAACTACGTTTCGAGATAACCGTTTACGAAAACTTGAAATTCTTCGACCTCTGCGAAAAGATAAAAGAACGTAAATGCTTATAATTCACAGACTCTTATCGATAGAAAGGAAATCTAGTTCATTGATCTCTGGTTTAACTAATTTTTAGTGTCCAAGGAGGAGGACCACAGCGACGCAGATTGCATCTGCATCTTCATATTGTCTCACGGAGGTTTCAACGGAACGATACACGCAAGGGACGTGTCCTACCCTTTCTCCGTTATCTGGAAACCGTTTCTAGAATGCAGAACTTTAGTAGGCAAGCCGAAACTATTTTTCGTACAGGTAAGACAGACTCGAACACGATTTACAATTAAACGTGAGTAAAATTAATGAGAAGTTTCGACTTCCAGGCTTGCAGAGGACGGACCACAGATCAAGGGAACATGGGGAGGCACGCGACCGATTCGACCGACGCTATGTACACGATTCCTACTCACGCGGATTTCCTATTCGGCTACAGCACGGTCGATGGTAAATGAATAAACAAATACTATTCACGATGATCTTGATTAAAAGGAATTTGTATCTCGTAGATCATTACGCTTTTCGGGATCTGAAGGCGGGCACGTGGTACATCGACAGCCTGTGCCGAGTGATCAGGACGCACTGGAGAGAGTACGATCTCACGAAAATGNCTCCCTTAAAATTCCATTCATTCTTCCCCCTTCAAGTACCTAAAAAATCGTCTTACCTTTTCAGAAAACAATTAAAAAACAAGCAGAACGAAGTCATTTAATATTCCTAATAGTTTTTTAAATAACAATATTAAAAATCTTCGATATCCGCGCGCGCGACGTTCGCTTGAATGTCTGCGTGTGTCACACACAAGTGGCGATGCTCGGTCGTATCAGCTTCAATCAGCTTGGTTTACACGATCTGTTTTGTTAACGTCGAGCCTCCGTCAATATTCCGAATCCTATGAAGAAAATCGCACCTGAAATTCCTTCTAACCCCGAATTCCAATAAACCCCGTGGGACCTGTGTCTACGTATCGTAACAAGTTTTGTATAATGCTGATCGCGATACGCGTGATACCTACGGATGGATAGATGCGTATAGATACAGGGTCGATCTGTGGAATGGATGCTTAATAAGTTACGTTCCGCGTTGCTTTTCCCGAACGCTTTTCGACAGTCGCTGGTAAGTCGCATCATCATCGTTCTCTAGTTACATTCAACAGAATTCCTGTACTTTCCTACTCCTCGTTGGAAATTCTCTTAAGAAAGATGCATCTTCTATGTATATTATGTTGTTGTAACAAGCGATTGCCTTTGTACGTCATCTATAGGTAAATAGTTTGGTTTATTGTTGAATAAATTTACAAAATTTCCTTCAATTTTTCTCAGACTCGTCGACAATTTCTTAATTATTTTTATTTTTTCACTTTGTTTCGCGAAGGGCCATGCCATTACTTTTTTTTTTCCTCTAAAAGGATTCGCAGAATTTACGGACTGCGTGTATTAAAACAATTAAAATTGATTGTCCGCGTTTAGTAAACAATTGTGAATATTTTCATATTTCTAGAGTTTGAAAAAGTAATCGATGATGCTGTTGCATTAAGGTCATGACCACTGATTGTTATATATTTTCTATAAACAATATTTGTGGTGAGTAAGTCTTACCTGAAATTTTATCCTTAACGTAACTATAAAACGTACGTGTTTATATTTTCTATACAGAATTACTGCGGTTTTGGATAGAAAGCGAGTATTCGAAGGTATCTTAAACACAGTCTCTTCTGATCATGGAATCGAACGACAGGAAAAATGTGTACCTCACGAAAACAGGAGACAACTCGTTAAACACTGGAATGAGAGAGACTATGATAGTCGGTCAAACGAACATGACACAAGGTAAGAATTCTCATTAAACATTCTTATTTAAAATTCTAAAAATGATTCACGTTCTCAGAATGCGGAGAGCCCGTAATGAAACCTGGGAACGTGTCCAGCGTTTCGAACAACCAGGTAAAGTGGTCGAATACTCAGAGTAAAAATTTTATCATTAACGCTGTCCCAGTGAAGAACGAAGTAAGTTGCCACACCACAGCAACGTTGTTTATCGATCAAGTTACACGTTTCATTAACTGTGTTTACAGATCGTTCACTTGGAGGACGGAGCGCACTGCAATAAGAAAATGTATTATTACGATAGACATTACACCGGGCACGAGGAAACAGAGAGACCGACGCGCAGGGGAACGAAACGGTACAGAGATAAAGACGCACCTAAAAGAGCGTTGTCTGCTTTCTTCTATTTCTGCCAAGAGCTACGCGGCAAGATGAGGGAACTGCATCCGGAGATGGGCGTGGGCGATATCGCCAAAGAGCTGGGCAAACTGTGGATGAGCACGGATCTCCAGACTAAGTCGAAGTACATGGCAATAGCAGAGGAGGACAGGGCCAGATACGAAAGAGTGAGTAAAACTTTAAATCATTCAATTACTCTCAGTATTAATTTTCTCTGAAACGTTTAGGAAATCATTGCGTACAACAAGAGAGTAAAAAATTACGACCCCGAGGAAGTTGGAACCGTATAAGTTTCTCGACTCTATTAAAAAGGAAACAAGGGACGGTGTACTTTGTCCTGGAAAGCACTCGCCAATTATAAAAAATGTATAACAATTTTACTAATAGTTTTTAGCATTCGTTGTATATATTATGTACACTGTTGACGCGATCATCAAAAGGAATTATCAATCGGGCTCATTAAATTGTTTAGTTGCAATAGAATCTGATTCTCAAGTGAGAACTTCCCTCGATCGTTGCCCCCACGCGTTTATTTTATATAACATTGGATACTACTTTCTGTGAATAACGTGTGCTAATATATTTACAACCGATACCTAATACAATAATAATAATATTAATATCGAGATTAGAATTATAACTGAAAATTATCCTGGTATTAATAATAATAATAATAATAATGTTATTATTAATGATGATAATCTATATTGCTATTGAAACATGTTATACACGAAGCACAATAGCGAGTAAAAGTCAAGCAGAGTGAGCTTTGTACAGTGCACTTTTCTTGATTATGCATTATTCATGTTTATAAAAACTAGACACCAGGGACTTATTTATATGGAACACCCTGCGTAGGACACATATTCCATGTATTTTGTTCTCTTTTCCAATAAATATAAAAATCATTTAAACCATTCATAATTACATCGTTTATTATCCATTTTGTTTCTTCTCCAAAACAACGCACCAGTTACCTTGATCATAATAGACTTCCTCGATGGCGAATTGCGGCACCTCCGAGCATAATTGCGAGAGTTCGTTCTCTTGGAACACGTGATAAAATCTAAGAAAGTTACCACCGCCTTTCCTCTTCCAAGGAACGAGCATATCGTTCGAAGTGAAGTTCGTACGGTTTTCATGCACAGGCAACGTGACTCCGAACTCCGTCAATTTTTGTATGCAAACGGCCTCCTCTCTCTTACCAGAATTATACCGTAAATAAGCCGTTTGAATAGAATCCTTCTCCTGCTCCCTCGCCCATACGTAAATCAGACACCTGCCGCCCGGGCGGAGGACCCTCGCCAACTCGAAGATCGCTTGCCTCCTCCGCTCGTACGTCGAAAGATGATGAATTACTGCTATACATATCACAGCGTCGAGACTGTTATCTTTGTACGGCAGACACAAACAGTCTGACAGGAGTACCTCGAAATTCTTGCTTCGACATATCTTCATTAAATTACAACTCCTGTCGCAGCCGATCTGTATAATTAAAACCGTTCATAATATCGTTTATAACAACAGAAAATCTTGCTTACTTTGAATATGTGTTCCTCCTCGTAAAGATATTTCCCGTTCCCGCAGCCTACGTCTAATAAAATATCGCCTATTTTTAACCCTAGTAAAAACTTCGATACGTTCGGCCAGCGTTTATGCCTCGTTTCATCAAAGTGATTCGAAATCTTGTCGTAAACCTGCGTACGAATAATTTCAATGAATGATAATAAAACAGGGAAGAAGATTTCATGATACGTACATCGTGTACATAAGAATTCTCTATCACCGGAGCTATTTTATTATCGATGAGAGTCGTGGTTCGTTTCGTGTCGCAGTGATTCGGGAAACTGCACCGACAGTTTCCCCTGTGAATCTTTCTAAACGTAAACGAAACCCTCGTCGCTCGGGACTGCGTCGTGATCCCATTTTTAGTTTTAACCACGTCATTGTGCCTTGGACAGATTCCATGCGTCCAAGCGTAACGAGCTTCCCCGGACATAATTAATAACGAACGCGGTGGTAAAAGAACGCTAGTCTTCTCGTTCTCTCTTTTAAAATCCATTATACAAGCTGAGCCTAATGATAACGATAATATGCTGTCTTCGAATGCACTGTGCGTGTCAATATGCGGTGGGATACCTGAAATTAACAAGAGATTAATATTCTGATTGGTAAAAAGAATAATTATATACCTTGCCCTGGTAAGTAATGATTAATCGTTAACTGATCGTAATCGTATGGAACCTCGTGATGCGTTTTAAGTACATCCTTTAAGAATTGATAATCGTCTGGAATAGGTGCGATTGGTTTGTCTGCATCTACGTTATTCGAACTGTATTGGAATTCGTATCCAAAGTGCTTCACTTTCCGGTGTTTCAAATCGGAAGACTCTAACATTTAAAGAAAAAATTAGATGAATCTTGTAGGATCAAAAGAATGATCGTTTCATTGAATAATTTGATACCTTCGTTACTCCAGTTTATTGTATCTAATAATATTCTCTCCTGCTCCTCGGTTATGCAATTCTCTATCAGTTTAAGACCAGGAGGAAGGTCTGAGAATAGAGACTCATTTGATTCAGGAACTACATGAACAGAATCATATGATAATATTGAAATCCAACGTTCTATTATTTATAAATGTTAAGTACCAGATTCTGTAAACGTGGCGTACAGTCGAGTCTGTTCATTAATCTTCACGTTCCCATGAATTTTGTTATAAATACACGTGGCGTCGTCTATGGAATTAAATTTAATAAAGCAGTACGATTTGTTTGGAGGCATGATTAAATGGTAGTCAGTGACGAGTGGTTCTATCACATCTTTCAACGTTTGCCTCTGCAATCCAGTGACCAAACCAGCATTGCAGATCATTATATACTGTAAAAAATTAATAATCATTTCTGTTATGTATTAGTATAAGTATTAAATGCGAACCTGGGTAGGATTGTCACAGCATTTGATATTCATGTCTCTAAGGAGTCTGTGATGTGCTCGTTTCTGCTTACGATGGCTCTTTTTAGTCAATTTTCCTTCCATAACCAAACTTTTTCTAAACTATTTGTTTATTATTATTAGAAAATAAATAGAATACATTAGAAATTGAGGTTAGAGTCTCAGAAATACGGGGAGACAGTAAGATAAATTATTGTTTATATTAGAAATTCATCGCTGAACTTTCATAATCAATAATTTTCCATTTCTAATCAGATTTTAATGAAACGAATCGGAAATATAGATAAAGAGAACAGATTTATAATCTTCGAGCTCGAAGTTTACAATAAATAATCGGTTGTTTATCGGCGGTAAATTTTCCTTCCATTTTCTTATATTGGCAAACTTTGACGTCGAGCACGACGCCATCTCTAACCCCAAAATCGTGCCTGACTTCAAACATAACCGTATTTTAAAGAAATTTCGTAATTCTCTATCGAATTCTTCATCGAAACTTTAATTTACAGTGTTTTATTAAAATTAATACAGTGAAAGTGTAAATATAATGATTTAAGTTCAACAAAGTCAATGAGTATGTCTATAATTAATCTTCCTTTACAAGAACTTCGATATCTCCGCTCCTAAAGTACAGATTTAGTCAAGATTTTCAATGCACGTTCATGAAGAGTCATTGTAAGTGTCTGTTAACTTTCGTTACGTTATCTCTACGAGTTTAATCCATAGAATTAAAAAAATCGAACGATCTCTGTCGCTACCGCGCAGATCACCTGGCACGTGCTCGAGGCGGTGATGATTGTCATTCACGTTGTGTAACCGCGCTCGTGCTCTTATAACAACACCGATGATCGATACATCACGTTGGATATCATCTGCGAACGTAACGGAAGAATTCGACAGGTCGTCCCGTTCTCTTCCCTACACGAATAAGAATGACAAGTAAGAAAGGACACACCCCACACCGGATTGAATCAGAGATCGATAAGAACCGCGAGGAAGGTAACTGGAAAAAGGTTATCGAATTGGCCGAACATTTAAAAGTCCAGTACCCCAGTAATGGTAATTAATTTTATTACAATAACACTAATATTCAGTCTTCATTCAGTTCGTTTATAAAAACCTGAAATAAAATCGTCGTACCAAATTTTAATTCTAAGCTAGATGAAAAATCGTTTAGTCATTCAGAAGGCCGAATATAATTACTATAAGACGTGCAATTTTCTCTTAGAATGTCTGGCGAATTTCTTATGCGGTGAGGGGAGGCTGGAGAGCTTCTTGGAACAAACTCCTCCGCTCAATGACAACATCGGAAAAGCTAGGAATGGATTGCAAGAAACGAGGAAGTTTCTATTACTCGCAGCTAATGAGAAAGACAAACAGGTAGGAAAATCAATACATTTTATCAAAATAAATAAATAACGTTTGATATCACAGGCTTTAGTCGTGTTAGACGCGCATTTACTACTCGGGAAACTGCACTATGCAATGGGAATGTACGAAGAGGCCCTCGAACATTATCATCAGGCCGAGTTACACACTCTCACAGAGAAACCGTTGCCTTGTAGGAGTCTACGGATTATCGCGGAATCGTACGCGATCAAAGGTTTGCATCAAACGATATTTCAGATATTCTGCTAGTATGTACTAGTGCATTATTATCTTTAATATCACGTATAAGGTAAAGGAAGTAGTACTGGGATAAAATGAATTTTGGAACCAATACTTGGACAGTAATAAATAGTAGCAATTATTTACTGTCCAAGTTTACAATCCCTTTTGAAACTTAATACGTAGAAGTGAGACAAGACGGCAGTGGCTGTCCAGGTTTAGCCCCTCCTTTACCTTATAACAGCTTGCCATTTGAATAAAGGAATGATTTATTATATCTACCATAGTACGGTGTACATTTCACTGAGTAATTTTTACAAATTCTGAAATGCGATTAAATTACAATATTGCACATTATGTAGTCGTTGGACTGCGGATATTTTAGCAGTCAGTAGAAATTCTGAAATGCAGAGAATGTCACGTTAGAAAACTAGCAATGATTTTTATATTTCCTATTTGTTTACGTACGATTACCACTGTACAACTTAGAGAAAGTAAGATTGTTTATTTAGACACAGAGAAACATTTATCCTGCCGGAGACTGCGCATTTTTGCCGAGTCCAAGGCGATACAAGGTTTGTACTTTGCTTAACGTTTATTTCCTTTTATTTGCCCCTGTGTAAGTGTGTCCTATCAGAATTCTTGAATCGGTCTCCTAATCAACTGTACAAGGCAATGATTTCTGCCTACCTCCGGCTATTATTATTAATAATAGGACAAGATTTAAAAACCAGCAGCATTGAAATTCTTTTTAAATCTTGTCCTATTATTAATATTAGCCAGAGGCAACCAGGAACCATAGTCTCAAGCTGTACAGTGCTTCCATTTGAACTAAGTGGCATTGATTAAAATTGAGTGAGGACCTGTTTACCTACCAGCTGAAAGAAACTGTTCTCTCAATGGTAATTATACTACGTATCTCTAAGTAGATTGCCTGCTATTTCAATGCATGTCTCGTTCTTCTTGCTTCCTATGAAACACTTAGATCAAGCAAAACGATTTTACATCCATTTATGTGTACGTAGTCATGTCTTCCTTCACTGTTGATCATTTCTCAACAACGTTTCTCTATTCTAATTAAGACTGTTTGTACAATAGGTCTCTGCCTGGAGAAGTTACCTCCTAAATCGAAGTCGAAATACAAAATAGCTGAATGGCAAGAGCAGATTATTAAATGCTACGAAATCGCCGGTGATCTGACTCTGGTTTATCTACAAGAGCAAGACAAACTCGCGATGCAACATCAGAACGGAAACAGCAACAATACAGGTAATGCTAATCGGTCTGGCATTCTTCTCCATCGATTCATGATAATTCACGGTGTTCCATAATTAATGAACGAGTGACGGTGAATAAGAAACGCGGCAGGAAGCGTGGAAATAAATTTCCGTTCTTTATGTCGTTTCAGGTGATTTCCTACGTAGGATCTGGCGAACATTGAAACCTTCAATCGTTTACATAGCTAATGCGTTAATATCGTTTCATCGACAGGTACATATTCCTCTCAGTCCCCTCAGTTTTCTGCGAAACATATCGGGCCGATTTTGGAAACCGCATTACAAAGGGCGCCTATACTCTACATTCAAACCGGTAACATTCAAGGTGCAATAAATCGTTACAGGTAACCCACTGTTTCTATTCGTAAAAACAGCAAGAGAAGAAATGTTAATTGACGAAATTAAATAACTTGCAAGGGAGATATTGTCCGCCGTGGAGTCTACGACGACTCAGAGTCTCAGAGTAACTTTGACGAGACAATTAGGCGAGGTTTTAGTCCGGGGCATCAGCGGCGCCGAGTACAAAGCTCCGAACGCACCGACCGACACAGCAGGTAATAAATAAATAAACGCGAATCGAACACGATTTCTATAATAAATTTCATATTAATAAATTTCGTTCTAATAGATTCCCCGTGGAAGCCGAAGAAATATCTAGGCCCTAACATGTTCGTGCCGAGAAACGAATACGAGGAGACGATTTTACTTTTACTGATAAGCGAAGCGATGGCTGTGAGAGACGCGGTTCTCAGCCAGTCTCCGGAATTTAAAGACGCGAGGATACGCGCGTTCGAGAACGCGACCGCCGTTTATGATCTTCTCACTGTAGTCGTCGTCAGGTGGAGCCAAGTGGATTTATTGTACGAGGTAATCGCGGTTCGACGTGCCCTCCCGCTCGAGGCTCAATTTATTTGCTTATTTTTTTTTCGATAGTCGTTCGAAAGGGCGATGAAGTTCTCTCACGACGAGGCGCACGTTTGGACCCAGTGTGCACTGTGTTTGATTAGCATGGGCAGATACATGCATGCTTATAGAGTTTTGAAAGTAGTGGCAAGATTATCGCCGCAGAAGGTGATGCCTTGTCTCTTAGCCGCGAGACTTTGCTACGAACAGTTAAATATGGTAAGAATTATCTCGTTTCACGTATATATATAAAACAATTATGTACAATGGAAATTAAATGAATATGAACGAATGAATAGATAAAAGAGGGTATCGAATGGAGTCAGAAAGCTCTGCAAAGAGAAACGTCGAATTCTCAAGGATTGCAGTCGAGGTGTCATCTTTATATCGGTATCGGTCACAGCATACTCGCTGCGAACACTATAGTGAAAATGGATAAGACTTACCATACGAAAACGGCTTTAGAATGCTTCCAAAAGTATGTACAATTAAATAAAGCAACTACGAGGAGAATCGTAGCGATTATAATCACCGGTTACTTTCAACAGGGCGCAGCAATGCGATCCGAACGACCATCTGGCTGAGTATTACTTGGCTCACGAATATGCGATCAATAGACAGATCAACGAGGCGATGGTCCACGTGAAAATCGCACTGAACCTCCGAGCGGAACACATTCCATCCTTGCATTTATTAGTCCTGTTACTCTCAGCCCATAAACAATACTCGGAAGCGCTGCATTTAATTAATAGCGTGTTGGAAGAGTATCCAGATAATCTGAACTTCCTTTACGTGAAGGCTCACCTCGAATTGCGAAGCGTCGGTGGCGAGCAAGCGCTGTTTACTATAAGGCATATGTTCCTCTTATGGAAGAATCTGTACGAGGATCAGACTAACGCTAATTGCAACGAGCAGCACAGCGAGAGGCGCAGCGAAACCAGAAGCGTTTTTCAATTGTACGCTTCTGAGATGTCCGATAAAGATTCCAGTACGTATTTAATATACGTTTATTTCTTTTAGAATTAATGAATGAATGAATGCGTTTTGATACAGGCTCGCTGCATGCTCAGTCGTTGGCTGCGTCGAGGGTGGAACAGGCTCTGTCGGAAGTCGCCTCTTCTCTCAGCTCCTTCACACCGAAACCCGGTCCGCAACGTGCCTGGTTGTTACAATTACAAGTTTGGCTGTTACTCACCGAAGTGTATTTGGTACTGGACCAACCGAACGGTGCCGTTCTATCTTTGCTAGAAGCCACTAATATTTTCCCTCTGAGTCACCACATTATGTATACGGTGAGTTTAATTTGAAACTTAACGGAACCTCGTTACCGGAATATCAGTTAATTCTCATTCTAGCGGGGTCTTCTTCATGAATACAAATTGGAATACATGGAGGCGAAACAGTGCTATCAGAACGCAGTATCGATCAATCCGTCGCATATAAAAAGTTTACAACATCTGGTAATATTAATAATAATTGAATAAAATCGAATGATGAACGATTAAGAACGATTCTCTGTTCAGGGTTTGATTTATCATTATTTGGGAAGCCAGAGGCTGGCCGAGAAGACTTTAAGGGACGCTGCGAAGATCGACCCGAACTCCCATCAAACATGGTACCAAATTTATTACAATTCTCGTTTATGTGCGCTTAATATTTACGTATCTCGAAAGGGCCTATAACTATATCCTGAAATATACCTGAGAATCAATTTAATGATTCGTAGGTACAATTTGGGGAAAGTGTTGGAGTCTTTGGGCGAAGTTGAACAGGCCAGCGATTGCATGGCCACGGCGCTGGAAGTAGAGACTACCAATCCGATATTACCGATCCTGTCGATACCAGTAACGTTCGAATAATTCACGGATATCAAAGGTTTACAAATACTATTTATTCGTTCGTTTGCCCCCACGTGGCAATAGTACCTGCTTATCTTTAAACTGTTGCATTAGTGTACAAATAAATTAATTCTTCGAGAACAAAGTTAGACGTATATTGCAGATAATTTAACGATCATTGTAAAAAAAAAAAGGAACTAATAAAGAAATAGCTATAAGCGAGATTTCTTCTTCCTTCTTCCTTTGATTTATTTAAGTTTTCTTCATTCCTAAAAGAAGCATTAATTTATTTTTACTTTGCTTTCTGTAATTTCATAAAAATATGCAACGATTATTTATTGAATTTTTCTATTTAAGTCATTAACGGGCACCTTTATATTTTATTATGGTAGAAATATTTTTACATTGAATATTGATTGGTTCAAACAAAATTCTAGAATTGTGAACGAATCGTTGCTGGTTCTGTAATAAAATACGAAAGAGAGACACGGTTTTGTGAAGTAAATGGAAATATTTCGCTGTTTATGAAGAGGCAAAGAAGGAATCACTTGGAGGAATGTTGCAGGAATCGATTGTCCGTCGTTAAACGAAAGTCAATTAGGCGGGGCATCGATTTGATATAAAATTAACATTGTTCGCCGTGACATCCATTAAATTCCCTTCCTTGCTTACCCTTAATCGTGAACGCCGCTGTGCGCTTCTCCATCCCCCTTTTCGTCTCTTTTTAACGAGATTACCGGTCAGCCTGTCCTACTCTATCGCGTGTCGCATTGCGCGTTTAACGGTGCGCAGGCTCGCGACTGGCGACCTAGCCAACTTGGAGAGAAACTTTTTCGAAATGCCTCGGTTTAAAACCAGGCCGGCCCTTTGAGCAACTGCGTCACGGATCCATATTTTCTGCATCCTATCAGACAATCGATTTTTCCCGGTGACGATGCCCAAAAACAGCGCTGTTCCGTAGACGGGGTCTCGCCCCGGCCGCCACCGCCGCCGCCGCCGCCGCCGCCGTCGTACCACCGCGTCACGTTTAGCGCATCACGCATCTGCAGAGCTTACGGCTATGCGTAATACAATATACAATCGACCAACTATTATCATCTTACTCTTTTTTCGACGTCTGCGAAAGGTCGCAGGGCTCCACTGCGCTGCAATAGGAATCACATAGGTTAGGAGGTTATATTCCTTTTTTTTTTCATTTCTTTCAAATGCAATCTACAAGGGATTAGGTTTTCCCTTGTAACGTCGCCCTATCTTCCTGGCTGGCCAATATTTTAAATGTCTTAATTAACACTAGATTGCCCAAGGAAGTAATTTTGACTGGTTTTGGGCAAATTTACAAATAATAATGCATAAATTATTTTTTCCCCCAAGTGAAGTAAATTTTTTTTGTTGTTAACATTTACTAATAACTTGTTATATGACTGTAAATAATATAAAAAATATTAAAAATTAATTTTACACAAATTTCTTTACACATTATTCTTTCACAATGCAGTCATTTTTATTGGTTTTAGTCAATATAGGTATATACTAAGTTTCAGTCTTTCTAGTGTTAATAATGACAGGATTATTGGAAGAACTCTCTGTTTTAGAACCTGATGGATGCATGATTTACTTATTATTCGTTTGAAACGTGGAATTGTGTCAAGAAGATTTTAAAACACCCACCCACCCCCCGAAAGTCGCATTGTCCACCGCTAATGCGTGGCTTTGTTCCTTTGATCTAAGGCGACCTTGATATACTTTTGAAAATAAAAAACAGAGAAAACGGGGTGGAGGAACCGTCACTTCCGTGAACGTTCTTTTTTGTCGCACGCATGCTCATCGCTTATTATTGATACCGCGGACACTGTGCGACGCCGTTACCGCATATCGGTCACGGCCACCAACCAAACCGTTAATTATCTATTAGATACGAATGGATATTAAGAATATCAGATACCCCTAAGATTACATTGGAATTTAATCGATACGTTAATCTTTCAGGGAAGAATATCGCCTTTTATTGTCAAATTTAATTAGAAACCAACGAATGCCTGCTATCTCGTTGTGCAATGATTCCAGAAGGTGATAACAAATATACTGCGACTTGTTTTATGATTGATATAAAAATCCACAGTCTAACAATGAATTCCTGTACGAGTTGCCACGGATTTTGCAATATACGCGACTCGCGTTGCATGTTTAAAAGGTTAATGCCTACGTAGCTTAGCTCTGCGAATTCTTGCCGGTCGCACAAAAATATATATACAATTATAATTCGTTTTTCAGCGTCACGTGTTGACAGTTAAATCGAATCTAATTGCTGTTCTACGTTGGCAGCCACCTGAAACGTTTTAATTGCGAACGCGGCTACAATTAGGTTACTTCATTCGACGTTTCCTGATACACAGAGAGAGAATCGTCGTCGTCGTCATTCACATTTTTCTACCGTATGAGATACGATGATCCAATGATGAACCATTACCGAAAGGTGAATCAAATTTCTATTCATTCAACCGTTCTACGTTCTGTTAACGAGAACCGCTGCTCACGTTTACAATCGGCGATGAGTAACCTGGTGTTTTATCTCGTCGTGCGATATCGATCGAGATCTAGGAAACACTTAGGGGATAATTGTAAAAAAATGAATGGTTGCAGGGAAAAAATTGCCTCAGTTTAAATTATGCTCGTGACGTAATGCCACGCAATCCAATTAAATTTATGCGCATCCTTACGTACATGCTAATTTTTATCAGTGCAATCAGTTTCCCGCAGTGTTGCGTTTAAACCAGGCAGGAAGGAAGAAGCTGTTTTTTTTCAACGTTCCTATTCCTGAAAACACGTTTCATGCACGAATGCTGCTGCTGCTACTGTTATACCTGGGAGGATCGCTGGACGGATGAATGTTTGATAAAGCAATTGAATATTCCTTAGCTCGTGTGTGGCTTCTCTGGCACTCCTTTAATCGCGCTCTTTATCCGAGCCGCGCGTACTCGCATTATTTTTATTTAAGAACATATCGACCGATTCTATGAAAGGACATTGAAACTGCTGCCACTCCAGGGGTTAACAGAAGGGATGCTGAAATAGGCCACCTAAATACTTTCTTTCTAAACTTGATAAAGGATTCGTACAGTTTTGCAATTTCAATATTGCGCAATGTTATTATTGATCATTTTAGCGAACATACAAAAATAGATGGCAACAATTGTTATGACTGTTTTTTACAGGCTCTTACGTTCGGAATAATGCGATTAAGGAATCGTATGAAATTTCGCGGGGGCGTGAAGGTACTTTCGTTCTTCTTCTTCAAGATTCCCTTCCAGGATGGACTTAATATCTGCAGGTAACTGCGTCATCCCTTAACTTATAGGAATAAATATGATATTCAGAGTCGTTGCTTATTTTTAAGATCGTCTTAAGCATTTGCTTAACACTAGAAAGACTCACTGCTTTTGGGCAATGCAGGAAATGGAGGAGGAGGGAGAGGTAACTACAATTATTAATAAACGCATTTATAAGTTGTAGAAAAAGTCAGAAAATTCTAAGAAATTGTGTCATTATATACATAATTGTTTTTCTAATTGAAATTAAAAAGCAGTCAAAATTACTTCCTTGGACAATCTAGTGTCCAGGACTGGAAATATGGGATAGAGATAGCAAATTCTCAACGTCTTAACGACGAATCAAAGATTTCCTTTGACCGAAAGCAGATGCCTGGAAGATCGAAGTAATAAAATTCGATAAATTTGTATTAATTTGTGGACGATCGAGGGATCGTTGAGACGGGACAGCGTTGAGGCGTAGCGTGTGATCTGGTGTGTGTGTACGAAGGTTCGAATTTGGTGGTGAGACAGGTTTGGGAAAAACTGTGTGATCGTGAAGCATCTCTCTTAGGCAGGGAAGCCCGGCTTTGACCCGGTAGTCGGCGGCGGCGGCAGAGTCCGCGCGGCTGCCTGACGCATTGCAGGTGCGCGTCGGCCAATCACAGGCCTGGTTAGTTCGCCCGGACTTGTCCTGTAAACACGACCGCACCCACCCCGCATGTAAAGCGGATTTGCACGCTGGTCGACGGGCACGATTCTGCACGTCGACGTCCGCGTCGTTCCTACTTCTTTCCATTTGTCCAATTAAAAATCGCTGGTTTTTTTCACGGTTTTCAGCAGAGTAGCAGCCGCGCGGGACTATCTCGCGATCGCGTAGGCAGCGTACGAGCGTGAACTCCCCTTAACCCCCGTCCGTGGCGGCGACCAATCGGGCGAGGCTCGAGCGGAGTCCGTTAGGGGCGGCGTAGTGATACCTGACCGAGACTAGCGGCAGAGAGGCTCGCACCGAGATCGGGAACGGTGGACTCCATTGCTATCCCGAGTGCGTTTGTCGTCGGCCGTGTCCGTATTGCGTGTCTGTCCGCGCTTTCGTGAACACATCAAGTTCGAAGGAGAGACTGTGAACAGTAACACGTTGTGTCTAGTGCCTAAGCGATACTCGAGATCGTCGAGCTTCACCGAGAGACGTAGAACCTGAGCCAAAATGGTAAGTAAAACGAGAGTTGACTTCCTATGCGGACGTCGCACACCGGCCCCTCGCACCTCCTCGTCGTCGCTTACAGTTTGCCGCATTGACGCGCCGAGTGCACGTGCAACCGACCGATACGCATTTATTCCGAAACCAGCCTTTATCCTCGTGCATTCTTTTACCTCGTTACGATATTATTACATTCGCAATGGCCGGTACGCGGAGATGGACCGACTATCGATCCGCTCCTCCATCGCCGGCCACGTATGTTTCCCCGAATCTACAAAAATGTCACCAGCTTCCGCGTGAACATTCCCTCACGCCCGCTACCGATTCTCATTAGCTTCCAGTCAAACTGTACCTACTCTCTATAGAAACTTTCGTACGCCGACATCGTTCCATGTCAAGTATCAATATTAATGCGTAACGGTACGTCGAATGTCGCACGACGATTTCTTATAGTTCATCGATTTAAAGTACTCTTCTATCTGTAGATTGTGAAATCTCAGATAAACGTTATCTACGCGAATATTTTCGTCCCCGTCAGTCACCAATTAGAATTCTTATTGTCTAAGAAATTCCAGTTTCTGCCAATGAAAAATGTGATACGTACGTACAGTACGTGTCTTAGATTGTACCTTGACAGCTTTCTTATAATCAGATTATTTGATAAGAACCGACGATAAAGGTTTTAACAAGAATCATCGGTTTTAACCGTTTCTCTTTTGTACTATGTATATATATATATGTATATATGTGTGTGTATAGGTATATGTAGGTAGGTAGGTTTCGACGATCACCGTTACACGGTATACCTCAATATTGATTTTCGCGGTCTCTCGCCGTTGCGCCGATTTCCCCTGTTCCTTGTACACCTTCGTACAATCGTCCCCATCGATTCGAACCAACAATCTTTATCAGTTTTTAATTATTTTTCCACCGAAACTCGTAACACGTTTCTAATTCTAAATTCTATTTTTACACTTGGCTGTGAGAGTTATTAAAATCATCGCCACGTATTTTAAACGCATGATTTAGAAAGAAAAAATCGAATCTTTCGTCTGTTGGGGAGGCGGCCACCGGTTTAGAATGTACTTTTTTAATTATAGTTTTATGGCGTTACGAGCTACTCCTGCTGCTGTTCATCGATCCTCTCGCCGCATAACCTACAGTAGAATTCCGGCCGCAATTATTAACGCGTGTTATTTATTATTGACCACGTTTAACCGATATTTCTTTTTAATGTACATAACCGATGGATATTTTTGTATTAAGTATATAGAAACGCGTCTATGTACNCACTAGGGAAAGAAAATAATTTGTGCATTATTATTTGTAAATTTGCCCCAAAGCAGTGAAAATTACTTCCTTTTAGGCAATCTAGTGTTAAGAATCTAGCGAAGACTTATTTGTTATCTGTTTAAAGGCTGATCAACTCACAGAGGAGCAGATTGCCGAATTTAAGGAAGCATTCTCACTATTCGACAAAGATGGAGATGGTACCATCACGACCAAAGAATTGGGCACGGTGATGCGGTCGCTAGGTCAAAATCCTACAGAAGCTGAGCTTCAGGACATGATCAACGAAGTGGACGCAGACGGTATTTTCGTTGTTCATTAAATAAAAACTGCGAATAGAAGTAGAAGATAAGAATAATTGGAATTTTCAGGTAATGGCACAATCGATTTCCCGGAGTTCTTGACCATGATGGCTCGCAAAATGAAGGACACCGACAGCGAGGAGGAAATTAGGGAGGCGTTCAGAGTATTCGATAAGGATGGAAATGGCTTCATATCTGCAGCGGAACTCAGACATGTAATGACAAATCTTGGCGAGAAACTCACTGACGAGGAAGTAGATGAAATGATTCGAGAGGCTGACATTGATGGCGACGGCCAAGTTAATTACGAAGGTTGTAAATCATTTATTATCAACGATCTGTTAACTAAATCAGGTACGTAATAATTATTTTACGTACGCGTAATTTGTCGTATTTGTTTCACGCAGAATTCGTCACAATGATGACATCAAAGTGAATGCAACCTGTGTAATGGAAAAACTTACAACTCGGAGTGGTGTTGACGTATTAAAAATAAATCAAGAAACAAAGAAAAATATAATATGTTAACGAAATGCGAATCGACCAGAAAGTGAACAAAACAAAAAAAAAAAACCAACAAAATCTTGTATCTGGACGCAAAGATGTCTATGAAACGCGAATGAGTCAACGTCCAACACGCGTTAACCATCATTAACGATAAGTAATACAGGGCAATTGTTTAATTAAAGTTATACCACTAAAAAATCATTATCTCTAAATAACACTCAATACTTAAATACATCAGACATTACACAAGCGCGCGCACACAAACACGAATATACACGTAAAACACGTACATAAACACAGACACACACACAGGCAGACATAAAAGATGATTTATTTCCGTATAAAAGGATATAATTAAAAGATGTTAGATATATATATGTATAAACGGACGCGCATGTTTGTCAAAGACAGAGGTAAATCAACCTTTTTCTTA